CCCACCCCGCCCCGCCTCGCCCCGCCCCATTGTCATCCCTATTTTCAACCACAGTGATGGCAACAGTGAAGCTATGACAACTAGTAATAGCTTGGGACAGTGAATGGACAACTATGAAAGCTTCTTGAGCGCTGATGAATGACAACTTAAAGCTGCAGTACAATGCTCATTCAAGTTTGGATAAAATAACATCAGACTTTGTTTTACTATAAGATGCCACAACAAGAGAAAAAATCAAATATTGGCTAGTTCTTTTCCTCAATAATTTCTGGCACTGGATTCGACCTCATGGCTCATGCAGAATAAACAGTGCGAAAACAAAGAAGGGGAACATTTTAGTCGGAGATTCCCAGGAATAAATGGTCCGTCTTGCTACAAATTACTGGTCCAAAGGTTGATATTTCCTTGGTCCTTTTTCATCTGGCTCTAGAGCAGATCGAGTTTCTGCTAGACTGATCAACAAATTCACCTATCTATAAGCCAACTAAGTAGTACCTTTGACAAGTTTGGAAATTCCACAGTACTTGAAACACAATGATGAAGAAACGCATAGTCATAGCTATCAGCAGGCAATGTGTAACCTTGTAAACAAACGAACTATTCAAGTAACAGTCAAGATTTAGTAAAGTCAGTTTTTCTTCCATACAAATGGTAGTCTTGATATTAAAGAAATACTATGTGTCTAAGTATTAACTACAAAAACCCTCAACTCCATCAACTATATTCAGATATATGTCTGACAACATCAGAAATTACCATTAAACCAACTTAGATATCAACTTCTGTATCAGCCATGCTACCAATCTAGTAAATTAAGACCAACTTCATGACGTAATACAACATCAACCTCATACAAGTTCATGAAAAATGCTGAATGCATTTCGTTTAGAGTACACTACAAATTCAAGATTTTGCTTTCAAACATATTCCCATGGTTTACCAGGTAATCAATAAATTATAGACTCACACGCCTTATGCATGATATATTACGTTTCTCCACCACTTCAAAGACAACACAGCAAGATCTTCTAAACATTGATTAGGACTTTTCTACTATCATATGAATCAACATCAAGATGCTTCAATCAACTCATTTTTTTTCAAGGGTGCTTAGGAGCTACAAAAAAATAACTACTAATAATATCAAATATCAAGTTATACTATTTTCCCAAATGCAACTCCATACCTATAGATACATGCTCCCCCCTCCCCCCCTCCCCCCCCTTTTTTTGATAA